ACGGTCTAGTGGCTTTATATTTTTATATATTATAGTTGGTTTAACAAAATAACCATAAAGAAAAAAGCAGAATAAGACCAGTTAAAATAGAATTTACGATTTCTACAGAAAATTTATATATATATATATATATATATATATATACGTATGAGAGTAAGAGAAAAATAGTATAAATAATAGAGAAAATTATTTTTGTATTCTTGAAGGTCAAATTTAAAGTTTAAATATAAAAATTTCTTTCCTTATATTAGCTATGCTCTATATATCAGCAGGATTTACAATTTTCCCTCATATATTTAATATGTATATATATAGTGTAATTACATGATGTTAATTGTGTCAATTATTATTGTGTATAACATAAGAACTATATAATTCATTAATATATAAATCATGTATATACAATAAGTCCCTGACATTATAAAATGAAATTAGTAGAATTTTTTTTAAACTTTATATACGAGTATTAAAAATAATTAGAAATAATAAAATTTTAAATCACTTGAAATTATTTGAATTTATTATTTTGTGTAAGAAATTGCACTGCGCTGTAAACTGTACCTATGATTTAAAATAAAAAAAAGTGCTTAATTACACTCATTTTCTGATAAATTCGAAAAATCGGATTTACAATTTTCTATTAGAAATGAGATTTTTATTAAATTTTAATTAAAAAGAACAATATTAGGTATCGATTCATAGTGGAAATTTTATGGTACTCAGACGAATTAAGAATTTTAAGAATTGAAACGTGTATTCAATTGGATTTTTTTTACATATGTAGAAGCCACGTTTTTACAGCTAAATTTCTAAAATATAATAAAATTATTTTTAAAACTGCTATAAAAATACTCATACAAAATACATTAAATTTTTTTAGTTATGCGTAATAACCCTACTAGAAATTTCACTAGTATTTTTGATTAATTTCAGAATTATTAAGTAAATTTTATAAGCGATAATTGTATTTATGATAATTTGTAATTCATTAGATTATTCTTGTGCTTTATCTAACCAATATTGCAGTGGTTATGGCACTCAGTGGTTATGGCAATATAAAGCTAATTGGCCATGTATCTATTATTTTAATATTGTGTATAAAGGAAAACCACGGTTGAGTAAAAAGGCTGGTCGCCGTCTATTTAATTCCAATGAACTATAAAACTGATGTTCACTATAAATTCAGGTGTAACGTTCTTATGTTCCGAAGTGGAGTAAAGAAAAACAAAAATTCTTCCACTGTGGTCTTTAATTAAAATAAATTCCTTTATGTCTACTAAAAAGTAGTTCTTTAATTGAACTTTAAACTATACAAAGCACATAACATTTGCTACAATTATGATTAATTTTATATGAAGAACGAGAGTCAATATTATGCTTGTTAAAGTAATCGTATATAAGGACTAAGAGAAAATTCTGAGATATAGTAAAAGATTTTTCAATTAGAAATAAAAATTTAATAGCGATTTTCTTCATATTTACTCATTGTTTCTAACAAATCATCATTAAACTGCCAGAAATAATTTCAAGAGAAATGGTGTAAAATTTGGCACGTCATTTAAATTAAATAAATGGTTTTTATTCGTGCTTTTATAATAAAACCTCATAGTGAATGTCTAAAATACAGGACAATATTAAATTTAATAATAAAAATTACAAAAATTTCTTATTATTAATTATTAATTTCCCCTTTATAGTAAAAAATTTTTCAAATAAACAAGCATCAAATCATTTAATTTTTTTACTCCTCTTTAAATAATTGGATATCATTCTGAAATTATGATTAAAAACCAAAAATTATTACAAATTATACAATATTCCAGTTGACCAAATATTATGAAGGCATGTAATGAATGGAGCATACTTGTACTTGTGGTATAAAATAAAATTTCAGCAATAATTTCAATAAATTATCTTAATTGGGTTTTTGTGGTATGTTTTTAAAGTATGCACACCAACATTAATTAAATTTTTGGTTTGAAAAAAAAACTCTATTATTTATATTAATTGTTAAATTTAAAGTAGCCTAGCTATTATTAATAAAGTGGACATGTTTTTCAACCAATTTTTATAAAGTCAATTAGTTAGCGGTAAAATTAATGATTACTTCTTTTTTTTTTTTTTTTTTTTTTTATTTTAAACTTTATTTTATCCTTAAAACAATTATACTTGACTTAGCCTAGAAAAGTTTACAAAAACGGCTCTATAGCTTGTATTTTTTTTTAACAACATCTAAATTGAAAACTAAATTTTTATGTTGATGTACTTATGGTAATCCTATTTTTATTACGCTATTTTGGTATTAATTTTTTATTTTTTTTTTTTGTTCAAATGACTTTATTGGAAAATCCGGGAATAAAAAACCAATAATTATTTCGTAAAGAAAAATAAAACTTAACCTACCCTAACCTAACTTACATCCTAATTAAAACTATTTGTACTACTACACAGTACTTGCTTATCACTAACTATTGTCCAACCACCAATATTTTTTATGTATACATTTGTCCCTATCTGAAGTTGACATTTCATATTTTAAATTTTCCCTGTTTATGTCATCTGGGTTATATTCAATGGCCTTGCACGTAGCCTGTCTATTATAGTGATATAATAGGGGGACGTGCCCTTGGCCCTGAATATAGCCATGTTGATCTAAAAAGACAAAATGCTCAGGGGCTATGAATCCTGTGAGCAACGTCTTTCTAATGTACTCCCCATTGTGGTAGAATATATGTGATATCAGACCATTTTCGGGGGTGTTTTGTGCTTTGTCATAATGATTTCGAATCAATTTTACTAGAAAATTGTCGATTCTGATTATGTTTGCTTCTTTGTACAAGTGTTTGTTAGAATAGTAATGTTTATAACCGGTATCTGATTTTCTATATATTCCGGTGCAGACTCTTATGCATTTTCTCTCAAACTTTCGTAGTTTTTCCATTAAACTTGCACTTATGTTGTACCATATTGGTAGCAAATTATTTTCACTCTGTTACTAATGTTTTTATTGTAAAAAATTTTTTTTGCCATCATAAAGAGTTTGTTACCTTTAGATATTGTATATTTGATATGCTCGGAATAGTTTAAGTTGCGATGTAAAAATATTCCAAGATATTTAACAAGTTTTTTGTTGGCAAGAGGTGTGTTTTCAGGAGTCTTTATAATGAAGCTTTTCCAGTTTTTTTTTATGTCAGAACTTACTTTGTCAACCGTGTTACGAAATAGCGCGGTCTCACATTTATTGTAGTTCACTTTCAATATCCATACTTTGCAGTAGTCCAAAATGATATTAAACATTTTTTGAACTCTGTGCTGTATGCTGGATACAGTATTATCTGCGGCATATACTATCAGATCATCTGCAAAGGCGAGGCAGTATGAATTACCTTTTACACGATCCAACAATTTCAGCAATTCAGAAACGTAGATTGAAAAAAGGATCGGCGCATTAACCGTTCCCTGTTGTAATCCATTCTCAATTACGAAATTTCCACTTTGGCAATCCTGCGACATCTGTATCATAAATTCATTCCCATACAACATACTACATATCAGTGCAGTTAAATGACGAGGAAATTTGTATTCATGCAATAACTTGTAAACTAGTCCATCCAACCAGACCGAATTAAAGGCCTTTTCAAGGTCTATTAAACAGGCACCCACACCAAAGTCCTTGTTGACAAACCAGCAGATGTCAGAAGTCAGTTTAGTTACAGCATGAACAGTACTATGTCTGAATTTAAAACCAAATTGATTTTGTGGTATTATGTCTTTTGCTATTGTATATTTAGTAATTCGGTCATTTATAAGTGTTTCGAAAACCTTGCTGATGTTAGGCATCAAACTTATTGGTCTATAATTATTTGGATTATACGGGTCTTTGCCTGGTTTTTTTAGCAATACTGTTTTAGATATCTTCCATATTTTAGGAAAGTACAAATTGTTAATTGCATTATTAAAAAGTATAACATATTTCGAAATCACTAGCCTAGTTAAGTTTTTCAACACCAGGTTTGGGATCCCATCTACACCAGAAGATGTCTTGTTGGTTAATGTCCTAAATTTAGTTTCAAGTTCAGTTTGGTTCGTGAATTGGCTATTTTCACCATACTGTTCCGTTGATTTGTTTGAGTTAGTGAAGTTACAAAGTGTCTTGTTGTTAGTGTGTATTTGGTTTAAGTTGTGTCTGAATTGATTTATTTTCTCTGTTATTTTGTTATGTATTCTACTGGTGGTGGGTAGCCGAATTTTATGTGTATTTTGTAAGTAAGTACCAAGCACATTAGGAATTTGTTTTTCATCTTCTAATATGTATTTATTTGTGTTTGTTTGCTTTAATGTTGTGATGTCAATATTATTATGTATAAGTAATTGTACGTCATTCGGTTCAATGTGTATGCTTTGTATTTTGTTAAGTTTATTTTTTTTGAATAACTTGTTTAGCTGTGGGAACATATTGTTATTTGGTTCGATTTTTTGCAGACGTCGTTGCCAGTATTTGTCAATTTCAACGGCGATTTGTTGCTTAATCAAAGTCTTGATATTATTTAACAGGCTTTTAAGCAGTCGTAAGTTGTAAGTAGGAAGGTTGTACCTTTGTCTGTTGATTTTGTGAATGTCTTTTAATAAACTACTTTTTTTTTTTTAGAAGTATCTTCAATTTTGAGGAATAAAATTTTTGTAAATTATTATGATTTCTTTTATTTTTTGGTATGGTTTCGTGCATCGTTTCTAATATTATTTCATTCAGTTGTTTAAGGTGGTAGTCTATATTTTCAGTCGAAATGTTACTACTATCCACTATCTTGTTACTGTCAGCTATGTATTTGTTAGTATAGTTACGGTCGAGTTTAGTTTGAAATGTTTTCCAGTTTGCTTTTAGAAAGTTGAAATTATTATTATCAGCCAGCACTTCGTGTTGGATTTGAAGGTCGTTGTTATTAATTGTGAACGGTACGAGTATAGCGTTGTGGTCACTGTCATAAGGAAGCTTGGAAATTTTGTTATAAGTCTGTGAAAAAGTTATTTTGAGTCTGACATCCACTATCGCCAGGTCAATGTAGGAATTGGCACGAGGTAAAGTTGGCGCGTCTGTTAGCAGTAAATTGCACCTGTATTTTATATTATTTTCTTGTAACCATTTATGTAATTGCGTTCCCCTAGCATTATTTGTCAAATTTAGCCATGAAGTGTGTTTAGCGTTAAAATCACCTGCTAAAATGTAGTAATTGTTCAGGCCGCTCAGATTCAATACTTCGAATATTTTTTCCATTTCTGTTAAAAACATATGTGAGTTTCTATTTGTTGCATACATAGAAACTATATATAATTGTTTTCCTTGTTTTAATTGTAGTGCTATAATGATCGGTTCAATGCATTGAAAGTCATTAAAAATGTCATTATTTACAATGCTAAACTGGAAATGTCTTTTAATTCCTATGGCAACACCTCCGCCTTCGAGACCATTTTTACGATCTCGCCTGATTATTTTGTAATTATTTACCACGAGGTGGTCAGTTGATTTAAGTTTTGTCTCACACATACAAACAATGTCAGGCTTATAGTTCTCCAGAAAATGCATAAAAGAGAATTTTTTATTATACGAGATTAATGAGTTGACATTAATCGAAATCAGATTATATCGTATGTCATTGTCAAATCTAATCATATTGGTGGTTAGTTTCAATACTCATACAGTCAAATAGTATGTTTATTCTATCAGTGTTAGTATTTATATTTTTTTCAATGTTAATAAATTTTTTTTGCATTTCTTGGATGCAATTCCTTATTTCAATCAAGATATTGTTAGTATTGTTACTAATACTATTATCGGTATTAATTTTATTAATATTATTATTACTTACAATACTAGCATACGTATTAGGTCGAGTAATGCTAAAGGCAATGTGTTTGTTTTGGATTTTTTGTTTCGTCACTTCCGCTGCTTCCAGACGTTTAGAGAGTTTTGCCTTGAACTCTGGGCAGTTCCGATATGAGGCTGGGTGACCATGATTTTTACAAAGTGTGCAAAATAGTTTTTCCTTTGGGTCCTCCGGCTTAATATTACAATTTCCAGGTAAGTGATTTTCGCCACATTTTACGCATCTATAATCCATATTGCAGTTTGACGAATGATGGCCAAATCGCTGGCAACGTGTGCACTGCATAATATTGGGCTTATTAATACGTTCCCAGTGGATTATCAGATGGTCAATTGCTTTTATTTTCATAATATCGCTTAGTGAACTTCGTGGTGCGGCTTGAACAATGAAAAATGGTAATATTCTACCTTGTGATGTTGAATGCTTTGTGGTAAGTCTTGTAACTTTTTCAAATTTTATATTTTCATTTTGATGCTTTTTTAGACTCTCTAGCACCTCATCACAGGAATAAGAGCTGTTCAGTCCTTTCAGAACCAGCGACAACCTTTTTTCTGCTTTTGGTGTGAATGTATAGTAATTTATACCAGATTTTTCTAAAACACCACGAGCTTTTTTGAAGTCATCTATATTATATGTAAATAGCACGTTATTATTTTCGTTGATTTGTTTGATCAGAAAGTCTTTTATTTTTAGGTCACTGCTAAGAAGTTGTTTCAATAATTTAACATCTGTCTTACCGAAATTGATAGGAGGCATTCTTTTGCTGCTGCTGGAGTTTCTGGTACCGCTGGGAGTTTTCTTCATAAGTATTTCATCTTCAGCGTTAGTTTTTTTGTTGGTAATTTCATTTTTTTTTTTTTATTTCTTTTGCTTTTTTTTCTTTTGTTTTTTTAGCAAGTTCCTGTATTTTGATTTCCAATTCAAGATCATCATTTTGAAGATCATTATTCTCGGAACGATTTGGCTGTGCACTATCTACCTGTGGTTCATCAGACTCTTCCGTTATATCCATTAAGGCACTATAAAAATTTTCTGAGACACGTGGTTTATTTGATGACATGTTTTGTTTTTCAATTTGAGCCCTCAACTTTTGGTTATCTTTTGTGAGCTTGGCTAGTTGTCTTTTTAATGCCGTAATTTCATCATTATTTCTGGATTTCGTCATTACACTTCGTTTCAATTCAGTGCAGGTAATGTTTTTATTATTGGTGAGGCCAGCAATAATTGAGTTTATATTTTGTTTTAGATTAGGATCTATAGATGACTCCTCTTCATCACCCATGATCGCAATCCTTGCACGATGCAATCAACCCAACTACCGTGTTGTTTTTAAATAGATATTTTGTATTTTAAAATAATTTTATTTTAAAATATTTATTATAAAATAAAATATTTGAATTTTTGTTTTTTAAATTTTAATTACTCTGACTAGGTCAACCTTCTCCAATCAAAGTTCAAACAGAACCTAATGATTACTTCAAAACTTTTAATTTTTAATTTTTTTTTTTTTTTTTTTTTAATAAATGTTGCATACTTTTAGGGGTAGAATAATTTTATAACCATTGAATTGTATTTAAATTAATTAACATAATTAATACAATTTTAGTTAATTACAATAATTAAGAAATTTTATTTTGAAAATAAAAATATATCTAGATATTATGAAAAATATTTTTGATATAAGCAATTGGATATAATATGGGTAATTAAGTGGATAGCATTAATATTGAGTAATTAAATTAATTGGTTTGAATTTTTAAGAATTGAATTATGAATAAATAATTTTATATTTCAAATTTGACAATATGAAATATAAGTACAACTAAATGAACAATAGAGTAGTTTTTTAACCAAGTCATGCCTCTAAATATTAGCAATAACATTTTAATAAGTTTTTAGATGCAAACGTATTCATATTGCTCTTGAGTTGAATTTGAAAATGATGGGGCTTTTAGTGGATTTAATATTTCATGATTGACCATATTTGCAGTGCATTTTTTGGTTCTATTCAAAAAACCAACTTTGAAACGCAGAAATAATTTCGTTTTTAAAACAAATTTTGATTCCACGAAAGAAAGAAAGTTACTTAGAAAAATTAAAAATTTCAAAATTTTATTCTTATAATAAAAAATCCAATTTTCACCAGAAATAATTATTTAAAATAATAATAAAGAAATAAACAATTATATTTTTATTAATTTTTTCTTATTTGTTTGCTTTGTACCCAAAATTTGAACAAAAATATTTTGTCTGCAAAGGAAACAAAAGCATCCTTTTGTATTTACAGAAATACCCATTCATATACAAGCATTGTGTATTTTGTAAATATTTTTTTTTCGGATTTCTAAAAACAAAGTTGTGAAATTTTTAACAATTATTATAGTTTAAATTATCTACATCTCTCTCCCATCCATTATCCTGCTGCTCTGCCATTCTTCTCCTCATTTTATTTTTTGTTCATTTCTACAAATATAATTTCAAAACACAATGCTATTGTTCAATTGTTATATTGATTTTTATTATCCTTTTAATAACATTCCATATACTCATCCTTATCTAGAATTTTACAATTTTTATTTTCCTTAAAAAAAACACAATACCAGAGTAAATGTAAGCAAGAAAATCTAAAATTTCTATATAGATTCTCTCTGTATTTAATTACAAATTTTATATAATGTGTTCACATATAGAATCTCTCAAGTACATTTTTGTGTACAACATTTTTAGAAAATTCATTGTTGGTCGCATTTATTGTAATTCTATTATTGTTATATCCCTTTTTTATTCTGCCTCAATTTTTTGTTTATACATTCATCTTACATAATAATATTATTTTGAATATAATATGAGTGTATTTATCTACACTCAGAGAAAATTTCGTTGTTTTTTTTGTTTTTCTTTAATTTTGTGATAAATAAAAAGTCACAAGGACTTCATTTATGAGAATAGAAACGATATGTGTAAAAAAATAAGTAAAAATTTAAGAAAATATAACAATAAATAAAATGAATTAGAATATGTTTTAAAAAATAAATTTTTTACCTGTTGTGTGAAAATAATTAATGAAACAATAAAAAAAAAAAATTTTTTTTGTACCAACGAAAAATCCAACTATTTATGTATAACATATAAGGATATTGTAATGTACATTGTGTTTCAAGTTCATTTCAAAAAAACAAAATAAAAATTGGCAAAAGAAAAATTTACAAGGATTTCATTTTTCCGGATTTTTTTAAATTTCGACTTTGATTGAATGTTAAATTTTCAATGTTATACATAATAATGATGGTATAGAAAGTATACCAATGCTAGTGTGTGTGTATGTGTGCAAAAAGACTTCAAATAAATAACAATTTTGTTTTGTTTTTCTCAAGGTTTTTGTGTTTTTTTCTCAAATTTTTCTCAAAAAACGAAAAAAAATTTTTTTTTTAATTTAACGCTTTTAAGAACACTATTTGATTGTCATAGGAAAATTGACAAAGAAGAAAATTAGAATTGTTTTGACAAAATTAAATTATATGACAGTGTTTTTAGACATCAAACATAATGTTTGTGGATTTTTGTTTGATTCAAAAATAAAAGAATAATTCAAATTGTGTTTTAATACCAAAATGTTACCATATAAGCTAATATTGTCGAATTACCAGAAAGCATGTAAATATTAGTTTTGTTCTCGAAATTAAACAAAATTTTGATATAAAACATTTATTATTGTTGAATTTGTCATGATACTTTCAATTAATGTTCGCTAGTTCAAACAACATTCGTATTAACATTATTGGTCACATGAAATGTTGTATAAAATGTTTAAACGTTTCTACTGAATTTAATTTTGTAAAAGAGAAATATGAATATGAATAAGAAGCAAAAATTTCTGATTTGATTCCTACTCAGAATTGAATTTTAAAACATAATAGTCATGGTCACTCACATGTTATAATCACTTAGCCTGGTTAACTGTTGTTTTGTATTGTTCGTTTGAGAAGAGAGAGAGTTTGGATCAAACATTTATTTTGACTGCAATTTGATTGATATTACGATCGAATTCGGGCCCGATTCTGGTTTGTTTGACGACCTATGTGATTTCTAGTACAGGCCCCCCTCACAACCTCTCAATTGGAAAAAAAACATTTCGTATTGTGCATAATAAACCATTTTCTTGTAAATTTTATCATGCTGAATGAAAGGTTAGTCATAGAACTAAGGAATGGAATTATATTTTCAGCATTCTAGTTTAATTAATTCTAGTCTCTAATTATTAAAATAAAAGGTTTTCGGAAAACATGTAAATGAAAAGAAATGGAAAAAAAATTTTTATATTTTGAAATTTAGTTTTTTTCTTAAGTTTTCAATAACGCCCTTCCTTTTTTGGCTTTCTTTTGCAAATTCTTACTTTGCATATATGTTAGATTTGGTGCTATTCACCTCTAATCAACTTGTTGGATCGTTTGAACAGGCATTTAGTAAAATCAAAATATTCTTTTATGTTTTATTTTTTTTTTGGAAAAATCTTGTGTAGTAATAACCACATAATATTACAACGCAATCTCGTTGCTCATTGAAACCATTTTGTTATACAAGAATATCAAAATCAAAAAATTAAATTATAATTTTTTAAATTTATGAATTTTAAATTTATTTGATTTGTTATTTGCTGCTGCTATCTTCAATCTTCATTATTTTATTAAAATTTTTCGTGTTATCCTTTGACATTTTATAAAATATTATTAGATATCTCGTCCTACTATAATTTCTTACACCATATAACATTATGTTACAAGAGTATCTTTTAATATTAAATTACAAAAAAAAAAAATAAGAATAAATCTATAAATTTTTCATACTAAAATTTTTGTATGAAATTCTGAAAATAAAAATCATATTAAAATTTACTCTTAAGGATTATAACACTTAAACTATTCTAGTGTTCTGTGTTAAATATTTTTACAATTTTTTGGCATCTACCCATCTTAATTATGTAATTTGTTTTTTTTTTTTCATTTTCATTATTAAATTTCATAAATATTTAATATCATTATTTTATATGTCGGACAATATGCAGTATAATACAAAATGTCATAATAAATTTTTTATCCTTCTACATTCTCATACATCCTTTTAAATATTTATATAAAAAATTTATTATAATAGCTGGGCATTTGTATGCATACCAGCAAAACTATAAATTTTTTAAAAAAGTAAATAAAATACAAGAAATTATGTACTACCTACATATTGTGTAGGTATGAAAAAAATTAGTAAAAAATTCTAAAATCCTATACTCGTTTACAGTTTTACTAATGAAGCATTAAAAAAAATGTGCACCCCACATAATAACCGTATGTGCTATACTATTTAAATTTTTAATGTTTTTTAGCACATTTTCAAAAAAAAATCTTTTTTAAATAAATTGGTCCCTAACTTGTTCGTCTCATATGCCCGACCGTCTGTTTAGTCGTCTGTTCGTCTGTTTACAAAACTACTATATCGTTCAAGATAAAAAAAAAAATATATTCAATCTAATAGATCTTAGTAAAGAACTTGTTTTTCTATAAAATAAGAGTCTCCTCACTCCTCTTCCCACCATGTTATTCCCTTCTAGTTTTTTGAAGTAGTGAAAATGTATGTTTACAATAAACTAAAGTGTTACCAAACTCAATGTATTTTAAAAACTCTGTAGACGCAGAAAGATCAGGAATATGATTTTATTCTGACATAAAAGAAAAGAATGTCATTTTAACCGCTTACATTTACCGTTATCTGGAATCAGGCTCTCAATAATATTTAAAGAAATTTTCCTCCCCTTACCAAAAGTATAATTCTGCCCCTTAATTATATTAATTATAACTATAAAAGTTAAAATTTTACTATTTTCGGAGAATTATTTTACTAAAATATTTCTCCTAAACTTATGCAAAATTTTAATGGAAGAAGAGAATTACATGCATGTTTCAAAAAATAGTTTCATTTCTGAGACAATAATTTTCGGTATATATTGGTGGATTCCAATACAAATCCTAAATTTAAATCGTTAGAGGGAAATTTGCTACTTTACACAGTATAAGTTTCACAACAGTACGTTTCTTGTTCTTTCTTTTTTGTATTCAAATACACGAGTTACCTTCATACCTGTACGATTTTTATTCAATTTATAACTGTATAACAAGTATAAAAACTTAATAATAAACAAGAAAAATAATAAAAAAAATGTGTGTCCTTTATTTTTTTTTATTTCCAACACAATATTCCAAATATACCATAAGCACACACATACATAAACAAATGTTGTTTTTATTCTTTGTTTTTATAGAATCAAAAATAGTAATTTTTTATTTTAATTTTTACTATATAGGATAAAAAAAAAAAATTACAACAAAAAAAAAAATTATTTTTAACAATTTTTTTCTCTCTTTCTCTATCCCCTCTCTTTTTTTAGGACTGTGGAGAATGTCAAGGCATCCGAATTATTTTGGTGAAATTGTTATATGGTGGGGTATATTTGTGATATCATTAAATGTAATACAAGGCGTTGAATGGGTTGCTATTATGTCACCTATATTTACAACATTAATTATATTATTTTTATCTGGTATACCGTTACGTGAAAGATCAGCAGATGAAAAATATAAAGAGTAAGTTTATATATATGTAAATTTTTTTGTTTTTTTTTTTTATTTATTTGTTAAAATTAAAATAAATTAGAGGAAAAAAATTTTTCATTCAAAAATTATTTTTTAATATAGCTGCATACCTAGGTAGAAGGACGAATATTTTTTGATATAAAATTTATTAAAATTTCAATTTTAAATTGGAAAATTCCAAAACGTTATAAAACTAAACACGATTCAGCTTTTGGTAATGGAATTTGACTGGTTCCAATTGCAAGAAATCTCAAAATGTTTGAATTACAATTTCAAACATTAAAAATAAATATTTCTGATGTATTTAAAAATTCATATGGCACCTTTTCAAATTTTTTTGCATTTTTCACTTACAAATACAAGTTATTCTACAATTGTTTTAGGTTTTATTATTTTTAAGAGTGGGAAAACTTTGACTAATTGCCGTTCATTTACTAGTTTTGAACATATATAAAGAAATTAATAATATACAGCCTGTCCAAGACTCGGTCGAACTCTCAACAGGAATTTTTCAAATGTAAAGGGATAGAAATTTAGAAAAAAAATATCAAGTTATATTTTCATTTTTGCACACACCTTTTTGGGTTATGAGACCTATCACAGTTGATCTCTCAGAAAAACGTTCAATTCTGAGTCTGATATTTTCTTTTTGACCACGAGATTATAAAATAGCACAAAAAATTTTCTTTTCTGGCAGTTTATCATTTGTCCTGGTTTAACACAGCACACTATTAAAAATTTTTTCAATATCCCAACTTTCTAAGTTGTCGTATCCCGAAATTTTAAAAATTTTTATTTTCAATCCTTTTAATATTTCTAAAAATTTGAAAGCTCTTCCAAAAGTTATCGTTAAATGCTATAAAAATGATGCAATTCTCAATAGATTTCGGCCTTTATATGTATTAACAATTTTTTCAAGTGTTTCAAGCTTTCATCCTGAATGTATGCAATAATTTGAATTATTTTTTGGTATTTTTGGTAATTTTAAATAGATGTAAAGTGCTCTGTTTTAAAAAAAAAAGTACTTTCATTTGTTCATTGGAAAAGTGCTATTTTACAAACCATTAGGTTGATCAATTTATTTACTTGTTGTTCCTGTCATTTGTTTCTGTTACCTATAAACATAAAGAAACCCTCATTCTTTTTTAATAGAACAATTTGTATGACAAATAGCTATATTTTTTTCTTTCCTTTTTCATTTATGAAAATTTTTGATTGAAGAAAACAAAAAGGATAACTGAACATAGAATAGAAAAATAAATCTAAAAATAATCTAAAATATTTGTATGATTAAGGACGAAAAAAAAATATGTAAAAAAATTGATTTTTGTCTATTTTTTTCCTATATTTTTTTTTAAAAATTTTTTGCCGTAAAAATTTGACCGTTTAAATGGTCAAATCTACAAGGGTATGGAATATAGTTATATTAATCATATATAATAAATTATATATGATTTCTACCTCTAAAACAAAAATTTCACTTTTGGGAGCAAAATAAATTTTGCAACAACAATATTTTGCTCTGAATTACAACAACAATTTCGTCTCTGAATTGCGTTAAACTCAAATTTTGAGCATTTCGAACAATAATTAATTTCTCAAATCTTTTCTAATACAACACGTCATTTTAATTTTTCGAGTTTAATCCTTTTCTAGAGACTTACATAATACTGTTGTCTATGATCCTCATTGCAAATATAAAGTATTTTTAAGTTGAGGTATGAAATAATGGTACCAATAACCAGATATATGGTTATTATCAGTCGTAAGCACTCTCATGCCAGCATACTCTGAATAGCTAAATTTAAATAATGGAAAATAAGAAAATCAAATTAATTACTTATTAAAATTTTATGTGTATTGTTCATTTCCACGACTGGATAAATTGGAAATTTTCTCTGATTTGCAATTTTAAAACTATAAAGTCAAACTTTGATACAAAATTTTGGCCAATATTAGAATTCAAATCACAAATAATTATTAAAAATCACACTACACAGTTGCTACACAACTCTTATCCTATATTCGGCTCAAAAATATCTGAAAATTAATAAATAATAATATGGTCTTATTACGGTCCGAAAATAAATTACTTAGATTACTTAACAGAAGTTGTGGTTCAAATAGCTTCCATATTAAATTTTTTACGATATAATAAAATATACGATATATAATAATAGAATAAAATAAAATATTCATAAAAATAAAATTTTCTTTGACTAGAATTTTTATCTCCTTAATTTAGATTTGCATAATAATATTGTTTTTTTTTTGTTGTTGTTATTTCCATAATTTCTATATCATTATCATCATTATTATTATCATTATTATTATTATCACCATTAAAATCATCAAAATCATTTCAATTCTCATCAACAACATCAACATATATATACAGGCTTTATAGAATTAATAAAAATCTGCTGATTGAGATGAAAAGCAACAAAATCAGAAGAAAAAAAAAACAATAAAAGAAATGCCAATTATCATAAATTTTATTCAATCTTAAAGAAAATTTCACATTCAATTTTATATTTTACTTATTTCATACTCATATTTCAATATACTACATATACCTATACTAGCTACCATATTCAATTTCAATTGAATAAAGTTGAATAAAAATTGAAATAAATTGAATAGAATTCAAGTTGATTTTAAGTAAATTAAAGTGGAGGGGTGGAAAATAATCTCACATTTTTTCGTTTTTGTTTTTATGTCTGTGGTGAAAATAGGCAAATAAAATTTATTAATAGACATAAAAAAAATAAAGTATTATTAGAATAGCAAGGATAATAATAACTACTATATGAAATATATGAGAAAACAAAAAGCAAAGAAAAACAATTTAAAAGCCAACTTGTTACACATCTCTCTCTCTCTTTCTGTCTTGAAATGGAAAGTACTCGTATAGTGAATATTTTGTTGGATGTCTGCCAATAAAATTGAATTTATTTTTGTGATTTTATTTTTGGTTTTTGGAAGTTATATATATGAAAAAAAAATTGAAGGATCAAGGATTTGTAAAAGTGTTAAAGGCTGCTTTTTATAATACAATTGAGCAATTGAATATAATTGAAAGTAAATTATGTATGTGAACCTTATGATATTTCATAAAATATGAATGAAATTATTTAATTTACATCTGAAATTTTGAAATTAAATTCAATTTGCAATTCGTTGAATTTATAATAAAATTATTTTAGGAGAGAAAATAAAATTATGATGAACCATTACAAATTTTATAAGTTCTGCATAATGTAAAGGAACATTTGTATAACATTCAAATACTCAAGAATTATTTAAAAAATTGGGCAATATTTTTTTTTAATAATCATTAATTACGATTAATCGTTCACAATTCTGCTTATAATTATAATTATTGCCATTTACAATATATTATACTCCAATTAACTCCAATATAGATTTTCAAAATTTTCCAACTCAATTAAAAATTATGTATGTATATGCTTTTAATATCTACAATTTTTTTACAATTTGGTCTAAAATATATATTTTTTTTAATATCAGTGGTTTTGTAGAGAATATATAAAAATTATTAATAGAGAATCATATAAAAATGTAAAGTTTATAACAGTACGAATTTTAGTCGTAGAGGAGCGGTTCCGAAAATTTATTAGTCCGTTTGTAACATAGCGAAGTAATGATTTCAAAATTAAATGTATTGGAATTCTCGTATATATAGCAAGTTGCTCAGTGTAGAATACTGTGAAAAATTTAACTGTACGTATTCTTCTGTCCATTCCTTACAGCGTTAATTCAAAAACAAATTCTCAAAAATCCCACAATTTTGCACAACTTGTTTAAAATAATTATTTTAATAATTATTGTGAAAGTTTGGTCTTTAAATTTTCTCGATGGCAACTATTTGAGTGGCTATCACATAATTCCAAGAAAGTAATTTAAAAATATCTCTGCAATTACTATAGAAAAACAGATCAAATCTCCTATAAAACCAAATTTAGTAGTACTACCCATTACTAAAATACGAGTCCTTGTGCTAATTTTATCTAAAAAATAATTTGATTATTATATTCTTTCTCATGCCTTCAAATAATACCACAGTGTTGGAACGATCAACTCCATATATTTTCGTTTTCATAATAAAATCCATAATTACTAGAGTATCATGGTCTTTTTTAATTATAAATGTATGTTCAGAGTATAATTTAATAATAGTTTTTAATAGTCCATTAATAAAATGGAAAACATATGATGAACAACAAATTTTAATTATAAAAATCAATAAATCAAAAACTGGAATGTTTTAATTACCTTTTTATTAAATATTAAATAATTTTTTAATATTTACCTTATATTTTCTCAATTATATGATAAATTTTTAATGGATTGTACACATTTTATATTTTTCATATTAATTTTAATAACATTTTAATTCGATTGTCAATATTTTAGTAATAGTATGTTTGTGACTCAATTTTCTTTTCTCTTTCATTTTAATTATAGTTCGATGGAGTATAGAAAATATAAAGCTTCAACATCACCATTAATACCGATACCACCATCAATATATGTTGAAGTACCAAGTGCATTAAAATTTATACTATGCTGTGAATTTCCACTATATGATTCTTTAGATATACAAAAAGAGAATTTAAGTCCATATTCATTATCATTAGCACATTCACATTCACAACACATATAGCAATCAGCACATCATGGTGGAGGTGGTGGTGGTGGTGGGGGTGGCGGCGGTGGTGGAGGTGGTAGTAATATGGGTGGAAATAGTAGTCAACAGCAACAACATCATCATCATCATCATCATGGTAGTATTGGTCAATATGATATGCAATATTATCAACAACAACAACAACAACAATTACAACAACAACACCACCATCGCCATCATCATAATGGTGCAGGCGGAGGTGGTGGCGGTACTATTGAAATAAATGATAAAAATCAACAATATCATTATCATCATCATCATCTTCAACATTATCCACAAACACAACATCAATATTTTCAACAATTACAACAATATGAATATTTTAATACTGGTGGTGGTTATTATCAACATGGTATGACCGGTTTTGGTAGTGGTAGTGGTTCAAGAACATCAGCATGTTCATATGGTGGTATTTGTTTGGGTGCTATACCAAAAGTTTCAACAACTGATAATATTAAAAATATAAAAATAAATCAAATAAATATATCATCAATAGCTGGTATACCAGGTCCATCAACAAGTTATCCAGTTGTTGCATCATCATCAAAAAAATTTCAAAGTTCACGTTCAGCTGATTATGCTGATATTGTTATTGCACCAACACCACCATCAATTGATAATAATAAAATAATAAATGATGATGATACAATTGTTGATGATAGTTGTACAACAACAATTGATGGTAGTAATTTAATAGAAAATATTACAGGTTGTCAAAATATTAATAATATTGATTCAATTGATGATATTGATGACGATGATGATGATGATGATATAGATATCTGTGATAATAAAGAGAAAGAATATAGAATTAGTTTATCACAACCAAATACACCAATATTGGTTGATACAATTCCAAAAAATAATACTGTTAATCTTAATAATAATACAAATAATTCAAATAATATAATTAATATAAGTAATATTAATGATAATATAAATAGTAATAATAATAATAATTCAAATATAACAAATTGTAATAATACTAATAATAGTAATAATAGTAGTAGTAGTAGTAGTAGTAGTGGCAGCGGTACTAGTAATATTAATAATGGAACAACAAATAATACTAATAATGAATATAGTATGCATCATTCGAATAGTAATAATTTTATAACAAAAATTGAAACAGAACGTTATTTAGGATTAGATGGAGCTCCAATAACAATTACAACAATATTGTGATTACATTTTTATTATACTCTCAAATATATCAGTTAATATTGGAAAGAGATTATTAAATTTTAAGTTTATTTAATAGAGAAAATTAAAAAAAAAAAAAAGGAAATTAGTCTCTAAAATAAAACGTTAATTATCAATTATTTAGAAAATTGAGAAAAAATTATTAATTACATGAATTGACAGATTATTGTCAAATATGCAAGTGGTAATTAATTCAAGCAAATGATAACTGAAATATGCAAATGGTGAGTAAATGCTCAAATGGTAATCAATACAATATTAAATTAAATATGAGTAACTAAATTAGGAACAATGCCATCTGTCAACAAATACATGAAGATTTTTAATAAGTACTCATTAAATTGATAATTATTAATTGTAATTAAATAGAGACTTGAAATTTATCAAAAAAAATATTAATTATTCTTAATATTAGAAAATAAATATTGTTGTAAAATTTTTTTTTTTTGAATTAAAATTCATTATTAAATTTGAAATTAAAATAATGTTAAATAATTTTGTGACAATTCGAAATAATTAATATACAATTGTGAATACGGTGAATAGTTATGATATGAAATTTCGTTTTTAAATTAATTAGATTTCATTAAAAAAAAAATTATTAAAATTACCTTTTCAAAAATTCTTAAAAAAAAAATCTTTAAATAAATTTATTAAATTGTTATATTTAAAATTTTCAATTGGACCAAAAAAAAAATTATTATAAATTATTATGTGACAAAATGATTGTGAATAGAATAATTTTATTATAATTGTCAGAACACATGACTTGACAAATATCAGTCTTCTGTCAAAGAATTTGGAAGTTTATTGAAAACAAAAACTGATAATTTGTTAACAAAATTTCTAAGCTATTTCGAAATTATTTGCAATTAATAAAAGGTTATTGAATTTTCCTTGCATTTTATCAAAATTCACTAATTTATTTTGAAATAAATTTTAATTACGTATCATTTTCGAAATTAATTTACATGCACCAACACAAAACACTATATAGCTAGAATGAATTTCGAAAAAACTTTAATAAAAATTTTATTTTCAAACTAAATTTTCAGTCTTCAATTTTAGGCCAATTAAATAACAAGCTAACAGTAACGGCAATCAATTATCAAAAAAAAAATTAAGTAAAATTTGAGTTTCAAATTTAAAAGTATTCAAGATATGAAGGTCTAAATTTGCTCACTCATATATGAAAAATTAAATTTTTAGGATAGAGGCTTCTTCCCTGTACAATTACTTAATTTTGGAGGAAATATTAATAATAATATTAATAATGTCATGTGTAGGTATTCCAGGCTTAAACATGAATTAAAATTTTGTTAAAAAATATAAAATCCACCGAAAAATTTTATACGAGTAGTAAAAATTAAATTTTAAATACCACCGAAATAGTATTGAAAAAATTTTTGCACATATTTTAAATATTTTGGATTTTCAGTAGATTTGAAGAAAAACAAATACCATTTTCAGTTATATAAAATAAAAATGTTATAAGAAAAAAACAAAAAAAAAATTGTTATATCAAATAAAATTGTTCAAGATTGTTAAAATTGTTATTGTGTAGATTCCAGTACTCTTAGAGATGTCATTTCTGAGAAATAGAAAAACTCAGAAATGTCATTTCAGAGTTATTTTATACCAAAATTAAAACACTTGTTTTTTTGTGCAGACTCCATTTCTCTAACTTGTAAATTGTCGCTTACATTATTTTAGTATAGAATTATTCTCAAACGAGAAAAAAATATATTAACACCAAAACTTTAAAATTTGCTTTTCTCAAATATGTAAATTATTAGTTATGTTAGTATTGCAGCAAACAAGCGATATATACATATGTTATAATTTCCTTCTGTAAACAATATTTTAAAGGTGGTATATGCACTGCCACATACTATACAATTAAAATTGCTGGTAATTATTTCTTTCACATGATTAATAAATAATATGCTCATTCAGTACCTAAATTTTATTTGCAATTTTACATGCTCTTCTGAATTTCGTAGAAGAAAATGCTCTTGCAACTATATACATTTTCATTCATAATCCCCATTTATAATAGAAATATTAATTATATATTTGGAATGGAGCTGAAATTAGGAGTTCAACTGAAAGTAATAATATGAATTTGATTAATTCGGCAGGATCCTTTATGATTCAAATATATCCGATTCCACTTTTCATTTGAATTAAAACTTACACATTACCACATTAAAGATTTTGTAGAGATTTCAGCAACAACCTATTGTAGATTATAGTCAGATTTAGAAAAATTTTTTTTAATTAACTGCACAACATACCACCTTTTAAATCTTTATTCCATTTTTATTTCAACTAAAATATATTTATTATTCTATTATAACCATTATTTCCGAAATTTTTAAACTTGCACTATTTAAGAAAAATATATAGGTATCCACAATTTCGTTTTTCCCCCTTTTTAATAATATTCAAAAAAAAATTTCGTAAAATGATACAAAATCTTAAAATTTATCCCAAGTTTTAAAAAAAAAAAAAACCTAAACAATATTTACTTATATAAATTTCTTATATACAGTAATATAACAAATATTAAAAATATTAAAAATACTGGGAAATTTTCTTAAAATAAAAAAATGAAAACAAATTCAAAATGTCTAGACTATTATATAGCTATATTACAATTATTTATGTATGTAAAATATATACAACGTGATTCAGAAAGGTATACAACAACATATTATTATACCATTGGTTAGGGAGTCAAAAATGGATGCAACTCTCCGGGCTAGGCTCGAGATTTGCAGGAAATCAAAAATTTAAAAATAGTTGATATACGAGTAGTAGTTGTTGACAATTTTTTATTTTTTGAGTTTGTATGCACTTTAGTAAGTGTTATAAAGTCTTCACAGAGAATTTTTTTCTTTGCTATACCTTTTAACATTTGAGGACTTAAATTAAAGCTTAAGCAACTGAGCACAATTCTATAAAAAAGAAATTTTAATATTTTAAAAAATTTCGTACGAAATTATCGGATTAGAGAAAACTACAAAAGTAAAAAAGGGCAAAAATTTAATTTTTCCTAAAGTTCGAATGTTTGATCTTTCAAAAGAACATAAAATACAAAATCAAGTAGCATGTCAATTTTAAGTTAGGCCTTTCAGAAACATTTTGTTTTGAAAACCCTATTTTCTTCGAAATGGAAGTTACAATAAAAAAAAAAAAATTATATAAGTAGAAATCTTGTGAAAATTTCTAAAAATCCCGATAACTCGGAAATACTTGAGATTTCGCATCTAGTTCTTAACAAAAATTTTACTCATTTTTGACTCCCTAACCAATGGTATAATATGTTGTTGGATACATTTCTGAATCACGCTGTATATACTTAAATTCGAATTCTATAATTATTACATAATATATCATATAGATTAAATGTTATATTTTATTTACATAAAGTATTATATTATATATTTATGATAGAATAATATAAATATAATTACAATATTAAAAAATCAAAAAAATATTTATGAGTAAAGACAAAAAAAGAAAAAAAATACAAACATGGTTAACATATTACATAATCATAAATTTATATATGAAACAAAAGAAAAAATATTATATATAATAAAATTAAATTATTATAAATAAAAGTAGTATGTATATATATATATATATTTGTTAAAATTATGTAAAAAACAAATTTGTATATTAATAAATTTAATTAATAATTATATAGAAATTCAAATATTTTTAAAAATTATTGAAAATCATTAAAAATTAATTAGAAGAACTAGCTATATATATATATAT